TGAATTGGAGCCGTTAAGGGTAGGTTATTGTTCTCTGGATCTGAGTCTGATTCTTCTTGCATTCCTTCCTCAGGATCATTCTCTATCCCTTCTCCATTACCTTGGTTGGGGTAGTAGGGGTCATTGGGGTGATGGAATCCTGCCATTGAGTCTGTACGAGAATAGGGTTAAGAATCGACTATAAGCTAAAGCACGTGGAATTTACTCTTAAGTTTAAGGGTTGAAGGCACTCGAATACTCCCTTAGTATTCTTTAACGATATGCTTTTGGTAAGTTTTAAATTTGTTGTCCATTACAGGCACTCCTTGGCATACGTTAGTCGGCCCTTGGACAAATATAGTTGATCAGGCTACATTCATCCCAGTTCCGATTACATGTCCCAAGGCATACCTGCACTGCACAACTTATATATAATACTTCTATATTGTTTTAATTATGATACTGACCATGTTATTAATATGAAATGAATGCATGCCTACTTTACAAAAACTAAATAAATTTAATTTTAAAAGTATGACTCTTACTCAGAGTGTTTTTGCCCAGTTGCGTTTATAGTTGTATACCAAAAATGGTTTTGATATACTTAATTCACTATAAACAATGCTCTGATACCAATCTGTCACACCCCCAAACCAGAACGGCGGAAACGTTCGGGGGCGGAGGACGTCATATTCAGTATCATAACAGTTCATAGAAAGGAAAGTACACACCACCATATATATTAAAGTTTCCAAGATGTTTACATAATTGTATTCATTACATGTTCAAAAGATAAATACATAAACATCATTCAAAAGAAGTAATTAACGCCAGCGCGTTAATCCCAAAAGTTGATTCCCAAACCTGCTTAGCGGTTCCCTGAGAATACAAGTTATTCAAAGAAAAAGTGTCAACAATTAAGTTGGTGAGTTCATAAGTAGTTTAGAAAAATTGGATGCCATTCCAAAATGGGTGTATGTTTTCCAGAAAACGCAGCATTTCAAATGTAAAGAGTTGTGATTTGTTGTGTTGAAAGTGAATGTATTAGATCCAGAAAATCCCATATTTTCCCTAATGGTTGAGATACGAGTTGTTGTGTTTTCCAAGAAAAACCCTTATTTTCTTATAAAAGTATGAAATGCATATGAATGTTCGTGTTATAAGTTGTAAATAATTGCACCAGGAAAATCCCTTATTTTCCTATTAGTTGTTTGGTTTGTATGCAGGAAAAACCCTTATTTTCCTAACATAAATGGCAGTCTCTAAGACCGAAAATCGCAAGAAACCGACGTTCTCAAAAGTTGTGTCATAGTTTTATATAATAAAGCTATACGAAGATCGCATTTGTTAGATGAAGAATAGTTTTAATAGCTACTCGTTCATAAAAGCATAATACCATAATAATTGTATATCCGATGAGTTTTATAACCATACTAAACATAATATGCCTGTAACGACGTTCTTCAGGCGTCGCAGCGTTATGACAACTGTCACCCCAAAAGACGGACTGTAGCTAACAGTCAGGGCGCGGGATCATGACTTCCCGTATAGATCTATACACATTTGACACGTTCTCCGAACGGGAGACTCTGGTTATAGACAGGACTTGCAGCATTACTTTCTAATAAAGAAAAGTAACGTTTGAAGATATACACGTCTCATGGATTCTCAACTAAGTCCGCATTAAAGTGATAGTTTTGTATGCAAAGTTTATCCTTTTTCACAATGTTTGACAAAGCAAGATCATAAGTTTTTAGAATGTATAAAACGACTTAACAATGAAAGGTACTTTGAAATAATTATATACTTTGTATAAGTCTAATGCACGCAAAGTATGACAAGAGTTTTCCATAGTAGTAATGAATTCCAAGTGATTTATTCGATAAAACAAGTGAAGTGAAACTTTATAAAATACACGATAATAACCGTATGTTTACTTGTATTCCCCCCTAAAAGAGTAAAAAAGCAATTAAAATGTATTTAAAGTGTGTTTGAAAGGGGTATGAACTCACTTGATTGATTGAAGAAAGCGTGACGAAAACCGAGCAGAACTTCTACTCGAGAAAGCGGATCTCTCGAGATTCTCGGGAAATCTCGGGAGTCTCGGGAGTGTAAAACTTTCTTCCCACCTTGGATATGAAAAACGGGCCTTTGGGATGATTCCGAGGGTTGAAACGCAGAGCTTCGGCGCGAGAAAGGAAGGAAATTAGCAATTTTGGCCGGCACCCTCGCATCCTTTTTATAGGGGTCTGGGAGGTTGCGTTACGCGGGGCGTACTAGAGTACGCGCTGCGTACTCATGCGTCATGCATGAGCGCATCCTCGGTCGAAATTGGAGCGACGTGGCGAACCGGAGCCTAGCATCCGAGTACGCTGGGCGTACGACGGTACGCTGGGCGTACGAGGGATCGGACCGGTGACTCCTTCGGATAATACCGGGCTTTAATTTAATTTATATTTAAATTAATTAACAAACTTTAAAAATTCATATCTTTCTCATACGAACTCCGGTTTCGACGTTCTTTATATACACGCGAAGGTGAGACTATGATCTACAACTTTCGTTTAGACTCCGTCGGCTAGTTTTGACTTTATTTTTAATATTATATTTTTAATAGGTCGGGACAGGAAAAGTCCGTTAAAGTTCCATAACTTCTTCATCCGACGTCCGTTTTCGTCAGACTTTTTACCGTTGCGCTAGAATTATTGATCCCTTTGATTCTCATTTAGGTTGTTTTGGCCAAAAGTCTCTCGATCTCTATTTCGAGTTTTTAGTTGTCTACTGCTATATCTGTAACTTAGAAAAATCACAACTTCCTCATACGAAGTCAGATTTGGACGTTCTTTTTATGTACGGTTACGGTTTGACGATATCTATGACTTTCATTTAGACACCTAAGGTCAAAAAGTGTTTCGTTGAAACTTTGCGTTTTTACGTAACTTCGTATTGCCGGTTTTTGTCGAGAAACTTAGAATGGTCATAACTTCTTTGTTATAACTCGGATTTTAGTGTTCTTTATATGTATGAAAACCTTGTTACAATATCTACCACTTAGTATACTTAATTACGGTTTTATAAAATTTTAAATTTTGACCTGAATTTTGCTATTGTTACAGAAACCGCCCCAAAAAAACGACAAAAAACCTAACTAACAACTAAAAAACTAAACTAGACAATAATTAAAACAGAACTATTAGACCTAACTAACAAAAACCAACCAATCCACTTCCAAGTACAACTCCAAGGGAAAGTGTGAAACCAAACATATCTTCCAAAATTATAAACAATGAAATCAAAAGCTAAAGTCTTCCATCTCACAAAGTCTTCAAAACCAATCTTCATGAAGTAATTAATCCTCCACCAACCCAAAGAAAGAATAATGATGGCCTCATACTCGAACAAATAATCCGAGGTTTGAAAAGTATCAAAATCACACAACTTCCAAGGAACTTTCAAATCAAGAGAATCATTGGCCAACTCGATCAAATCTTCAATTACTTTCAAAAAACTCGAAACCATACTATTCCCAAAAATAGCAATCAACTTTAATCTTTTAGTTTTACTCTTCTTGCAATCTTTTCCTTTCTTCTCCAGAAACCAATTTTTGATCTTCATTCCATTCTTCACTTGGTAAGCCCATATGCTCCAAACCTTATTCCCTTTAACCATCACAATCCACCATAAAAGTATGATGCTAAAACCAAGTAATCCATACCGATCCCACCATTTCCAGAAAACTTTCATATTATCTTCATCTTCATTATTACCCAAACTATTCCAAATGGTCTTCAAAAAGTCTTCCATAAAATTGAACCAAAAGTTCCAAAAATGCCCTTGAGCAATAAACCACATTCTTTAAAATTTTGAACTCATAGAAACAATGATACCCAAATCTTGATTGTCAAAAAAAATCCCAACCACCAACATTCTTCTTAAGAATCAATCCAAAGATATGAAACCCGTCAATTCCTTTTTTAATGGGGATTTTCCAAAAATATCCCTAAAGGTTAATCCCTAAATAATTAAGAATTGAACCTTCAATTTCCACATCAAAGGTAAAAATACCAATGATAACCGGGATAGACCGGTTGGCATTAAAATTTTGGTAAAACCAAAAAGAATGGAAGATCCAAAAGTGGTTGTTTTTATGTAAACAAGGGAAACAACCAACCCAAATGTGGTACAGTTTAAGGTTAACGTACCCAATCCAGTGTATTGATGGGTAAATATCCCACCACTTGCTAATCGAACTAGCAGTGGCACCCACAAAAGTGGAGATTCCTAGTTGCCTAGGAAGAAAATTCCAACTAACGGGGATCAAACCCATTTGCTTTAAGAAATTAACCACTTCAAAGGAAAAAATTCCAATGAAATCCGGGATAAACCAGAGAGAAAATAACAAAAAAGGATCCATAAGGCTCCAAAAGTGGTTGTTTTTATGGTTACATAGGAAACAACCAACCCATAGGTGGTACAGTCTAAGGTTAACGTACCCAATCCCGTGTATTGCCGGGTGAATATCCCACCACTTGCTAATCGAACTAGCAGTGGCACCCACAAAAGTGGAGATTCCTAGTTGCCTAGGAAGAAAGCACCAACTAATGGGGATCAAACCCATTTGCATTAAGAAAATATCCACTTCAAAGGAAAAAATTCCAATGAAATCCGGGATAAACCGGATGGCAATAACCATACAATTATTCCATAAAGCCAAAAAGTGGTTGTTTTTATAGTTACAAAGGAAACAACCAACCCAATTATGGTACAGTTTAAGGAAAACGTACCCAATCCCTGGTATTAACGGGTAATTATCCCACCACTTGCTAATCGAACTAGCAGTGGCACCCACCAAAGTGGAGACTCCAAGTTGCCAAGGAGGAAAACAACCACTTATGGGGATAATACCCATAAGCAAGAAGAAATCCACTTCTAAAGGAATAATCCTAAAGAAAATCGGGATAAAACCGATAAGCAGAGCAATTTTTAAAGGAAAATTGCTAAACCCAAAACCGTCAATTCCTTTAATCATCAAGACAGTCAATATTTTCCTCACCAACAGGGATACCCCACTTCATTTTAACAGAATTATTAAACCCCACAAAATCACTTTTAAGACCAATGAGCTTAAGGCGAATGTCCTCAAAGATATACAAAATCACTTTATTCTCATCAATCTTGCCTCTGCGAAATAATCTAGAATTCCTTTCCCTCCAAACATGATAAACCGTGGCAGCAAAGGCAATTCTCATAATAAAAGCATGAATGCTCTTTCCTTTAAGGGAAACCTGTAGGTCTTCAATAATCTCTTTCCATCCGTGAGGGACACTTATTAACTCCACTTTATCTTTCACAGCCTTCCAAATCAAAGAGGAATACGGGCATTCAAAGAACAAATGAGAATGCGAATCCGATTGTAAATTACACAGAGTACACTTGAGATTTTTATTTTTGTCCCAGAATCTCATTCTATCCTGTGTCATGAGTCTCTCCTGTATAGCAAGCCATAAAATGAAACTGTGTCTAGAAATACGTTGTTTGAACCAAACAAGATGAACCCAAGGGACCTTTTGACCACAATTACAAAGATCAATCCAAACTTGATGAATGTCAAACTCAACCATTTGACCATCTCTTTTCCTCCATAAGACTCTATCAGCAGCCAAAGGGTCAAGAACCGGTAATTGATAGATACTTAGCTGAGGAATAAGGGAAATCCAATCAGGAGGCCAAAACCAAGAATTATCAACAATAAAATCCTTGACCTTATCTGAAATTTTGAACCCAACACTAGCAATCTCTCTTGGAGAATGTACAGAAGAGAGAGCTCCAAGATGATGCCAATCATCATACCACATAAACGTATTAGCACCATTCCCAATTTTTGTAAAGAAATGATTTCGAAATTGAGGTCTTAATCTAAGCAAGTTTCTCCAACTCCAACTCAAATCTTGTTTTTCTTCAACATCCCAAAAGCTTCTTCCTTTTAAAACATAAGTATTTATCCATCTCACCCATAAAGAATCAAAGTTGGAAACAATCATCCAGATTCTCTTAGAAAGAACAGCTTTGTTCCAAGCTCTAAGATTTCTGAGACCAAGACCCCCAAACTCCACTGGTTTGCATACAGACGACCAAGCAATTTTGGCTCTCCCTTTTTTTGACTCATCACAATCCCAAAGAAAGTTTTTCATAAATTTCTCTATCTCCTTGGTAATAGCAGCCGGAATAAGAAGACATGAAGCCCAATACACAGGAAGAGAAAAAAGAACTGAAGAAATAAGTTGCAATCTACCAGCATAAGATAGAAATTTATTTCTCCAGTCCCCAATTCTGCATCGAACTTTATCAACAAGTCTTTTGCAGTCACGAATGAACAATCTAGTCGAAATGAGAGGAATTCCCAAGTATCGCATAGGGAGCTTCCCTTCAAAAAAAGGAAGAGTTTCAAGAATTTTCCCCTTCACATTAGCTTTAACATTTCCAAAGAAAATATGGCTTTTTGAGAAATTTGGATGAAGGCCAGCCACTAAAGCAAATTCTTCAAGACTCTCCTTGATGAACCTAACCGAAGCAGCATTACCATGACTGAAAATCATCAAGTCATCCGCAAAACAGAGGTGAGTGAGCTTTAGTTTCTTACATCTCCAATGGTACTTGAACAATGGTTCATTTTTTATTCTTCTTTGAATTATCAAATTAAAAGTTTCCATCACCAAAGTGAAAAGATAGGGAGATAAAGGACAACCCTGTCTAAGACCTCTCTTCCCTTCAAAATAACCATGGAAGGAACCATTAATGCTAATCATATACGAGGGGGAGCTCACACATTGCATGATCCACTTTATCATAGCTGGATGAAATCCAAAAAGGAAAAGAATATCTTGAAGAAATGACCAGCTAACTGTGTCATAAGCTTTTTGGATGTCCACCTTAAGAGCACATCTAGAAAACCCACGGTTTCTGTGATATCCTCGAACAAGTTCTTGAGAAAGAAGAATATTATCAGTGATCGATCTTCCAGGAATAAAAGTAGACTGATTTTCAGCAACAATGGATCCCAAGTGATTCCTTATTCTAGCAACAATCGCCTTACTAATGCATTTATAAATAACCGAGCAGCAAGAAATAGGTCTAAAATCATTCACTTTTCCAGGAGAATCAGATTTTGGGACTAAAGCAATGGCAGTGGCATTGACTTCTTTGAGAATTTTTCCACTAGCAAAAAATACTTTAACAGCGAGACAAAAATCCTTCCTTATAACAGACCACATAGCTTTAAAAAATTTAGCCGAGTAACCATCAGGACCAGGAGATTTATCATCTTCAATATCAAAAAGGGCAGCTTTGATTTCTTCATCAGACACAACCTTAATCATCTCAACAGCAACAGCAAGATCAAGTTTATTACAAAACAAAGAATTGGGTTGATTAATCTCTCCACAAGTAACATCAGAACCTAAAAAATCTTTGAAATAATCCATAAATTCTTTGTAGACATCTTCACCTTCCAGCCATTTCCCTTCACAATTCATAATAGCTTCAATTCTATTTTTATGAGATCTCCCTTTAACAATTCTGTGAAAAAACTTAGAATTGCAATCCCCCTCTTTTAGCCAATGAATTTTAGCTTTTTGTTTCAAAAAAATTTCTTCTTTCTCATAAGCTTTTTTAAGTTCACCAAGAAAAATGGCTTCTAAATCACGAAGACTTGAATTGAAAGGATCCAAATCCAGATCAACTTGGACCGCTTCCAGCTCCTTTCGAATATGATTAACATTTTCCGAAAAATGCCCCTGAATTTTTAGCAATTTACGAATTGGCTTCTTGAGATTTTTAAGCTTTTGCAATAAACAAAACATCTTGATTCCTTGAATTTCAACATTCCAATGCTTTTCCACCAAAACTTTCAACTCCGGATTTAAAACAAGGACATTAGGGAATTTGAAAGGAAGCACTTTAAACTTATTTCTAATCGGGATTTTGATGACCATTGGGCTATGATCCGAAATTCCATAGGGCAGAAAAGAAGCATAAATCGAAGGAAAATCATCAAGTAACTTACTATTGACCATCACTCGATCCAATTTTTTCAAAATACCAATGCTGCCCTGCGGTTTTTGATTCCAAGTATAGTTTAATCCATTACTATTGATATCTTGAATTTCCAGAGAATTAATGCAATCAAGGAAGTCAACCATGCCTTTGGTATATCTAGAAGAGCCAGCCATGCTATCATTAAGACTAAGGGTGACATTAAAATCACCCCCAACCAGCCAAGGATCATCACCAACGAAGTTGTTGTGAAACACAAGAGAAGACCATAAAGCTCTTCTATCAATATACTTATTGGCAGCGTAAACAATGGAACAGAAAACATGTTTATTGTTGTTTGGAAAACTGACTTTAAAATGAAAAACTTGATCATTGTGATCAATCAAGTTAAAATTAAAAAAACAGGGATTCCATCCAAGAATTATTCGAGAAGTAGTACCATAAGAACCTTTATTAGCAATCCACTTCCAAGAACCAAAGATTTTGTCACACTTCTCTTCAAGTTTACCAAAACTGGCTTGAGGCTCAAGAACAGCTAATAAACTCAAATTATTCAACTGAATTAACTTTTTTATTTCTTTTTGTTTAGGAGACTGATTAAAGCCCCTAACATTCCAGATCCCGAAACTAAGCGTCATTGGGAAAAGACTCCATGTTGGTATCATCCAAAGGGATACCACCTATAACTTCCATTTGATCAACAGTATCCAAGTAATCAAGATCAATTCCTTGAACACCCCTTCTAGAAAAACCCATTTGATTATCATCTTCCAAATCCTTTAAAACATCAAATTTATTGCTAGAAAAAATAATCGCAGGATCTTGACATTTCTCAACATTAAGAACTTTATCAAAATTAGAGTTAATCTAAAAATCAGCTCCAGACTTTGGAATATACTTCAGCCCACTGTCAATCTTTTTTCCCCCTTCAATATTCATTTTAGGTTCCTGGAAAGAGTTAAACGCATGAGGCATCCCCTGAAAATTATTCCCACCTGAACCAGTCCCTGAATTGTTGATTTTATTCGAAAACTTAAAGCTTTTACTATTCCGCCCCTATTCGAAATTAAAACCATTTGTTCTTCCACTCACAGCCTGATTTTTCCCATTATACCCCTGAACTTCTTTTCCCTTATTCCATTGATTTCCACCGAAAGTATTTCCATTTTTAGTTGAACTATTCCTTTTTTGCCCCTGACTTCCAACAGAGTTTCCAACCATATTCTTTCCATTTCCTTGGTTTTTCCCATTTTGCCCTTGAAAAGAATTATGATTTTTATTCCCTAATCCTTCCTTAGTCTTTTCGCCCATTTTTATTCCCTTATTCCTTTTTTCCACAGTTTGAAACCCTTCATTGTCATCATCAACTTTTTTAGTGCTCGCAATAAGAACCTCCATCAAGTCAACTTTAATACCATCCTTTTTTTGATCATCAGATTTAGAATTCGCTAAATCATTGGCCTCCTTAGCAAGTAAAATTCCACAAGTACTATCTTTATGCCCATAAACCTTGCAATGAGAACATTTGGAAGGATTCCAAGCATACTCAATTTTACACTTTGACAGAATTCTTTCACCAGTAGTAAGATCCGAAGAATAAACATGAACTTCTTTAAGCCATTCTTTAGAAGCAGACATTTCAATTAAAACTCTCATGAATGCCGATCTTCCCCAATGCTCTTGACACATCTTCGTTGTATGGGCATCAACATCCAACGGTTTTCCAATCTCCCAAGCAATGTGACTCAACCCTGTTCCATTCCAATATTCAAGGGGAACATTAAAAATCTTTACCCAAACAGGAACTTTGTCGTGTTGATCTTTTGCCGAACTCACACCAGTAGTCCATCTCCTAACAACAAGGGCACTATCAAAAATCATCCACACTCCACCCTCCAAAACAGAAATCATTCCTTGTTTAGAACTGAATCTGAAGAAATAGATCCCTTCATCATTTACCATCACCTCTTCTAAGCCATATTTTTCCACATATTATGAGCAAACTTGTTAACATTAAAGAAATTAACATGTTTGTCAATGAAATAACCATAAAGAATGGTCTTAAATGGGCTGCATCCTTTAAGAATATCACATATGGGCATTTCCACCACTCCATCAGGCAAATCCGCATTTTTCTTAACCTTGGAAATACGATTTGCAGCATTGAGCTTCTTTCCATTAACTTTCTCAGCATACGAAACAGGTTCATTTAATTTCGATTCCTCCAGATTAGTTTTAGGAATAGAAAAATTCACCTTGCTCTTCAACTCCCCATTCTTCATTTGTTCCATCATATTTTCAGTAATAAGCAACCCACCATTACTATTCCAGATATTTCCTTTATTTTCCTCATTTTCATCAACCAACATTTGGACATTAATACCCTTATCATCCGGATCAACATAATTGAAATTAAAATCACCTTTTTTAACAATATCAATATGGTTGAACTTACTAGGAAAGTGATATATAATCTCATTACACACTCGCTCCAGCTGTCTACTCACCATTTCATCAATTTCAATTTTCCTTTTCTCTTTCTTTTTCTTAACCAAAGATTGCATAGAGCATATATTTTGAAGATCAACAATCACTGGTTCATTCAAATTCAAATTAGGAACTCCTTCAGGAAAAAGATTACTCACAGTTTCACCAACTTTTGGAAAACCATCGGAAGCTTCAAAATCAGAGGATTTCTTCATATTAACCGAGGAAGGAAATAGAGAAGAAGATGGTTTAAATGGAATACGATTCTTCCCAAAATTAGCTTCAACCTGCTTTTTAACTTTGCTTGTACAAAGTTTATGGAAAAATTTCTCTTTTTTCTTATTGGTAAGATCTTTCCAATTCAACAGCATTTCATTTCTTTGACTAACCAAGGAAATCTTCTTTACATCATCAATTGAATCCACAATGTCATCATCAGCATCAATACCACTGTTGTATTTCTTCTTCGTAAACCTCAATCCATGAACAAATCCTTCTTTTTCATTAATAGATAATCCATTCCAAAAAGCCATCATAGCATTTTTCTCTCCAGGGCCACAAAATTGAGCAATATCCTTCTCAAATTCAATAACAGGTTGACTTAAACCATCAATTGATTCCTCCTCCTTTTTTATAGAATTAATAGAGACATGAAGAATTATAGAAGGGAAAGCACAATCGATTTTAATGGAACAGGGACTAACATAATTTTTCAAAACAGCAACATCAGGAGCAATTTGCGAACTCAAATTCAAACAATTAGATTGAATAACTTCATTTTTCACAACAGAAGAAGAATCTAAAACCATGCTATCCAATTTAGAGTTTTCGGAATTACCAGCTTCAGATGGGATTTTAGGAGCGATCAGACTAGCTTCAGATTCAAATTTATTGATGAGAGAAGTATCTGATTTAGCTTTCAAAGGATCACTCAATTGATTGGAATCAACATCCAGAACGGATTTGAGTTTGTTCTTCGAGTTCACATTTTTTTTTTCATTATTACGTCGGGTTCCAAATCAGGGGGATCACCCTCCATAAATCGATCAAATAGTATCCACAGAACGAGCAGGAGAAGACGAACAAATTAAGATCAAAATCAGTGGAAACTGTTGCCGGAATAATGATCGGTGCCGGAAAAACGGTTGAAAAAACGAGGGAATCGCCAACTCGCCAGAGAAGAGAGAGAAACAAAGACAGAGAAAGTTGGGTTTGGGTTTGGGTTTGGGTTTAGGGTTTAGGGTTTAGGGTTTAGGGTTTAGGGGGTTTTTTTTTTTTTTTTTGGATAAAAGGGGAAGACCCCTTGGCAAATTTTATTGAAAAGAAAAAAACAATACAAAGAAAGAAGGCAACCGCCCAAAAAACCTAACTACACAACTAACAACAACTACAAACCCTAAACTAAAACAAAAGCAACTAACCCTAACTAAACAAACCAACCGATCCACTTCCATGTCCAACTCCAAAGCAAGGAGTGAAACCAAACATAACTTTCAAAGAGATACACAATACAATCAAAACCAAAAAACTTCCAATTCACGAAATCTTCAAAATCTTCAATCTTCATAAAGCTTCCAATCTTCCACCCGTTCAAAACCCAAAATATGGCCTCATACTCAAACAAATAGTCCAAGGTTTGAATAATGATTGTCTTCCAATGCTTCCAAGGAACTTCCAAATCAAGAGAATCATTGGCCAAAACATTCATATCATCAATAATTTGCAAATATTTCCACTCCAAGTTACCACCAATAATAGCAATGAACTTTGAACTTTGAACTATACTCTTCATGTAATTCTTCCCAATCTTCTCCTCACAATAATTGCTAGTCTTCTTTCCAATCTTCACTTTAACGTCCAATAAACTCCAAAATATAATCTTCAAAACACAAGAAAGTGTGTTGCTAAAACCGTTATTTCCCAACAAATCCCACCATTTCCAAATTTTCTTCAATTTGTCTTCAACTTCTTTCTTGCCCAAAATAAACCAATTACTCTTCAACAAATCTTCCAATATAATGTTCCAAATATTCCAAAATTGCCCTTGAGTTAAATCCCAACCTCTAACAATTAAAAGGCTCATAATCGCAATGATACCATAATCCTCAAGATTAAAAAAAATCTAGATCGCCAACTTTCTTCTTAGGAATCCATCCAAAAAAATGAAGCCCGTCAATTCCTTTTTTAAAGAGAGTATTCCAAAAATACCCCTGAAGGTTAATTCTTAAAAAATTAAGAATAAAACCTCCAAATTCCACATCAAAGGCAAAAATACCAATGATAACCGGGATAGACCGATTAGCTTTAAAATTTTGGTAAAACCAAAGGGTTTGAAAGGTCCCGAAGTGGTTGTTTTTATGAGAACAAAGGAAACAACCAACCCAATTGTGGTACAGTCTGAGGTTAACGTACCCAATCCAGTGTATTAACGGGTAAATATCCCACCACTTGCTAATCGAACTAGCAGTGGCACCCACAAGAGTGGAGATTCCTAGTTGCCTAGGAAGAAATTTCCAACTAACGGGGATCAAACCCATTTGCTTTAAAGAATTGACCACTTCAAAGGAAAGACTTCCAATGAAATCTGGGATAAACCAGACAGCAATAAGCAAACAAGGATCCATAAGGCTCCAAATGTGGTTGTTTTTATGATTACAAAGGAAACAACCAACCTGTAAGTGGTACAGTCTAAGGTTAACGTACCCAATCCCGTGTATTGCCGGGTGAATATCCCACCACTTGCTAATCGAACTAGCAGTGGCACCCACATAAGTGGAGAATCCTAGTTGCCTAGGATAAAAACACCAATTAATGGGGATCAAACCCAAATGCAAAATAAAATAATCCACTTCAAAGGAAAAATTTCCAATGAAATCCGGGATAAACCGGATAGCAGTAACCATACACTTATGCCATAAGACCTTAAAGTGGTTGTTTTTATAGTTACAAGGGAAACAACCAACCCATTTGTGGTACAGTTTAAGGAGAACGTACCCAATCCCTGGTATTGACGGGTAATTATCCCACCACTTGCTAATCGAACTAGCAGTGGCACCCACCAAAGTGGAGACTCCAAGTTGCCAAGGAGGGAAACAACTTAAAATGGGGATGAAACCCATTTGCAAAATAAAAACCACTTCTAAAGGAATAATCCTCAAGAAAATCGGGATAAAACCGATAAGCATCACAATTTTTAAAGGGAAATTGTTAAACCTAAACCCGTCAATTCCTTTAATCATCAAAATGATCTTGATTTTTCTCTCCCACAGGAACACCCCACTTCTTTTTGACAATATTATCAAAACCCAAAAAATCACCTTTGAGGCCAATAAGCTTCAAACGAATTTCTTCAAAAATTTCCAGCATAACTTTCATCTCTTCCGATTTTCCTTTCCTAAAGAGTCTTCGGTTTCTTTCTCTCCAGATATAATACACAGACGCCGCAAAAGCAATTTTCCTGATGAAATCAAGAATGCTATTTCCTTTGAACTTATCTTGAAGTTCTTCAATTAAATCTTTCCAGCCATGCGAATCACTTGTAATTCCAGCTTTGTCTTTCACAGCTTTCCAGATATACTTAGAGAACTCACATTCAAAAAACAAGTGAGAATGCGAATCAGGTTGCTTATTACACAAAACACAATGAACGCTTTTATTTTTGTCCCAGAATCTCATCCTGTCTTGTGTCATGAGCCTTTCCTGAACAGCAAGCCAAAGAATAAAGCTATGTCTTGGAATTTGATGTTTGAACCAAACCAGATGAGCCCATGAAACTTCATCTCCAACATTCGAAATATCATCACAGACTTTTTTTATGCTGAAATCGAAAATTTTCCCAGAATTACCCCTCCACATGACTTTATCGGGACAAGAAGGAGTAAGCGAAGGAAGCTGGAAATTCGTTAATTGAGGGATAAGATCACACCAGTTATTCGGCCAGTACCAAGAATCATCAACAATAACATCTTTAACCTTATCCGAAATATTAAACCCTGCTTGCGAAATTTCCCTATGAGAAATCACATAAGATAAAGGTCCCAATGGATGCCAATCATCAAACCATATAAACGTGGAAGCTCCATCTCCTATCTTATTACAAAAATGATTTCTAACCTCATCTTTGAGCTTAATAAGATTCCGCCAACTCCAACTCAGCCCGTTCTTTTTCTCTATATCCCAAAAGCTTCTCCCTTTTAAAAGATTGATCTTGACCCACTTAACCCATAAAGAATCAAAATCATCAAGAATCATCCAAATTCGCTTTGAAAGAATAGCTTTATTCCACGTTCTCAGGCTTCTAAGACCCAAACCTCCATTAACCACCGGCTTACAAATAGCAGACCAGGCCACTTTAGCTCTTCCTCTTTTCGATTCATCATGATTCCATAAAAAATTCTTCATCATTTTTTCAATGTTTTTTATGGTGCTACTAGGAATCAGCATGCTGGAAGCCCAAAACACAGGCAGGGAAAAAAGAACCGAAGAAATAAGTTGTAATCTTCCAGCATAAGATAAAAACTTATTTCTCCAATCACCAATTCTTTTCCTAACCTTATCAACCAATCTGTTACAATCCCTTATAAACAATCTGGTGGATATCAACGGAAGACCCAAATAGCGCACAGGTAATTTCCCTTCCACAAACGTCAAGGAATCAAGGATTTTCTTTTTAGCATTAGGCTTGACATTCCCGAAAAAAATATGACTTTTTGCTAGATTGGGAATAAGACCAGCCACTCCAGCAAATTCATCAAGTGCCTCTTTGATCACCCTAACCGACGCAAAATTTCCATGACAGAAAATCATCAGGTCGTCCGCAAAACAAAGATGCGTAATCTTTTGCTTCTTACAACTCCAGTGATACTTAAACAAATTCTCCTTAAGGATCTTTCTTTGGAGAATAAGATTGAAGGTTTCCATAACAAGTGTGAACAAGTACGGAGACAACGGACATCCTTGCCTTAAACCACGCTTACCTTCAAAATACCCGTGAAAAGTGCCATTTATACTTATCATGAACGAAGGAGAAGTCACACAACTCATTATCCATTTGATCATAACAGGATGAAATCCGAAAAAGAAAAGGATATCTTGGAGAAAAGCCCAATTTACCGTATCATAAGCTTTTTGAATATCCACTTTCATGGCACAACGAGAAAATCCTCGATTACGGTGATACCCACGAACTAACTCTTGAGATAACAAAATGTTATCAGTGATTGATCTACCCGGAATGAAAGCCGATTGGTTATTGGAAACAATGCAACTCAAATAATTTCTAATACGTCCAACAATTATCTTGCTAATGCATTTGTATATGACCGAACAGCAAGATATCGGCCTATAATCACTGACTTTCCCAGGTGTGTCAGTTTTCGGAACTAAAGCTATCACTGTAGCATTGACTTCTTTAAGTAATTTCCCAGTGCAGAAAAATTCCTTGACAGCTTGGCAGAAATCCTTTCCGATTATATCCCACATAGCTTTGAAAAATTTGGCAGAAAAACCATCAGGCCCCGGAGCCTTGTCATCATCAATATCAAATAAAGCACTCTTTATTTCCTCATCAGTGACCACTTTGACCATATCATTAGCATGCACCAGATCAAGTTTCTTTAAAAACAACGATTGGGGGTTGTCAATTTCAGCACAATTAATTTCAGTCCCCAAAAACTCACTGAAATATTTGATGAAAACATTAGGAACAACATCACCTTCAATCCAATTGCCTTCTTCATTCAAAATAGCATTAATGCTATTCTTATTAATTTTACCTTTAACAATTTTATGAAAGTATTTAGAATTACTATCTCCCTCCTTTAACCAATCAACTTTCGCTTTTTGCTTTAAAAAACTTTCTTTAACAGCATAAGCTTTATTAAATTCTCCCAAAAAAATAGCCTCTAACTCCCTAAGCTCGGGATTAAAAGGATCTTTATCAAGCTCACATTGCACAACATTGAGCTCTTTTCGGCAATGCTCAACATTTTCAGAAAGGTGTCCCTGTTTTCTAAATAAATTCCGAATTGGTTTTTTAAGGACTTTTAGCTTTTGAACCAAACTGAACATCTTAACTCCTTTAACTTGATGCTTCCAATGATCTTCAACTATGAGCTTTAAATCCATACAATTAGCTAGAACATTAGGAAACTTGAACGGCAAAACTTTATAATCTATCTTCACCGGAAATTTGATGATAACAGGGCTGTGATCCGAAATTCCATAAGGCAAAAAAGTGGCATAGATCGACGGAAATTCCTCAATCAGCTTGCTGTTGCCCATCACGCGATCTAACTTTTTCAAAATGCCATTACTACCCCTCGGTTTTTGATTCCAAGTGAAATTCAAACCATTTCGATTAATATCTTGAAGGCCAAGACTATTAATACAATCATGAAAATCAGCCATTCCTCTTGAAATTCTAGAAGAGCTAGCCGAACTTTCAATAAGATTGAGAATAACATTAAAATCTCCACCAAGAATCCAAGGTTCATTTTTAATAAAACTCTTGTGATGCAACAAAGAATCCCAAAGAACTCTTCTTTCAATGTAGTTGTTGGCCGCATAAACAAAGGAGCAAAACACATACTTATTATTAGGATGAAAATTAATCTTACAATGTAAAACTTGATCATTTTGATCAATCAGGTTCACATCAAAAAGATTAGAATTCCATCCTATAATAATTCGAGTAGTACTTCCAGGATTACCCTTATTAGCAATCCACTTCCAAGATCCAAAAATTTTTCCACACTTCTCCATAAGCTTACTAAATCTGACTTGAGGTTCAAGGACAGCAAGTAAACTCAACTTATTCATATTAATTAAATTCCTTAACTCTTTTTGCTTAGAGGATTGATTAAATCCCCTAATATTCCAAATTCCAATATTAAACGTCATTGGCACCAGCTTCCATTTTGGTATCATTCAAAGGGATACCATCAAGAACTTCCATTTGATCAACCGTATCCAAGTATTCTAAATCAATATCATCAACCTCTCTTTTTGAGTTCCCAAATTGACCCTCCTCTTTCAAATTCATTAAAATGTCAAACTTATTTTTTGAAACAAACTCCATGGAACCAGAATCAAACACATTCTGATTATTCAAATCAAAATTGGAGCTAATTTTAATATCCGGACCAGATCTTGGAACATACTTTCTCACGTTTTCTTCTTTTTTCCCCAGCCCCACAAACTGATTAGGCTTTTGTTGACTATTCCCATCTATAGCAGAACCTTCAATACTTTCTTTTTTCACAACCTGAATATTTTTGCTGCTCTGCCCCTGTTCAAATTTTCCACCAAAACCATTCCCATTCTTGTGATAATTTTTCCCATTATGCCCCTGAATTGCTTTTCCTTTATTCCATTGATTACCCCCATTGTTATTCCCCATTTTCAATCCACTATTCCATTTCTGCCCCTGACTTCCAACATTAGTTCCAGCCACTTTTTTCCCATTTCCTTGATAATTCCCATTTTGCCCCTGAACCAAAAAAACGTTTTTCTTTCCCATTTCTTCCTTGCCGAGACCTCCTATATTGTTCCCCTTATTCTTTTTACTTGCAAGTTGAAACCCTTCATTATCTTCTTCCACTTTTTTCGTACTAGCAATAAGAACCTCCATTAAATCAACCTTTTTCCCTTCCTTATTTTCCTCATTCCCAGTCACCTTGCTGCTTTCCGTAGCTTGCTTTGCTAATAATATCCCACATTTAGAATCCGAATGTCCATATACTTTACAATGAGAGCATTTTGAAGGATTCCAAGCATATTCAATCTTGCATTTGGAGGGAATTCTTTCACCTGTTGTTAAGTCCGAGGAATAAATGAGAACTTCATTAAGCCACTCCTTGGCTGCTGACATTTCAATTAAGATTCTCATAAAAGCCGGCCTTCCCCAATGTTCTTGACACATTTTAGCCGTGTGAGCATCAACATCTAAAGGCTTTCCAATTTCCCAAGCAATATGGCTCAAACCTGTCCCATTCCAGTACTCCAGGGGCACATTGTATATCTTTACCCAAACAGGAATTTTATCATGCTGATCTTTAACTGAGCTAACACCTGTGGTCCATCTTCGGATAATGAGTGCACTATCAAATATCATCCATACTCCCCCTTCTAGCACCGAAAGAAGACCTTGCTCTGAGCTGAATCTAAAAAAGTAAATCCCTTCATCATTTACCATTACCTCTTCCAAGCCATATTTCTTCCACATATTATGGGCAAACTTATTAACATTAAAAAAATTAATGTGTTTATCAATAAAATACCCATACAATGTTGTTTTAAATGGGCTGCAACCTTTAAGAATGTCACTTATAGGCATTTCCACAACACCTTCAGGGAGTTCAGCATTCTTTTTAACTTTTGAAATAAGATTCGCTGCATTCATTTTCTTTCCACTCACTTTTTCAGCATATGAAACTTTTCCTTCACTTTTTTCTTCCACCGCATTTTGCACAAGAATAATCTTCTCCTCTTTACCCTTTACATTATTAACCTTCACTTCTTCCAGCATATCTTCAGTTATAAGAAGCCCGCCATTAGTATTATAACCCATTGTTCTTGTTTCTTCCTTATCATCTATGTTCATTTGGCCTTCACTTTCTTCCTCCTCAGTATCAACATACTTGTATTTGAATTCACCCTCACAAGCAAGCTCTAAATGATTAAACTTACTTGGAAAATGGAATATAATCTCATTACAGACTTGTTCAAGCTGTTGACTGACAATTTCATCAATTTCAAACTTCTTCTTTACCCTCTTCTCCTTAACCTGAGGGCGCATAGAACAGATGTCTTGAATATCAACAATCACAGGCCTATTATTATTCGAGATTGGAACTCCTTCGGGAATGAGATTTAACACAGTTTCTCCCACTTTTTGCAATCCATCTGAAGCTTCTAAATCCGATGTCTTCTTCATATCAATAACCGCAGGAAACAAAGAAGCAGAAGGTTTAAATGATACTCGGTTCTTCCCTAAGCTAGCTTCCACCTGTTTTTTTATTTTACTCGTGCACAACTTATGGATCACCTTCTCCTTCTTTTTTTGATTAAGTTCTTTCCAATTCATCAGAATATCATTTCTTTGGCTAACAGATGATAGTTTCTTAACATTATCAATAGAATCATCAAAAGAGGAATCAAACTCACCTTCCTTGTTATATTTTTTCTTGATAAACCTTAAGCCATGTACGAATCCTTCCTTCTCGCTCAAAGTAAGGCCGTTCCAAAACACCATCATGGCATCCTTTTCTCCTGGACTACAAAATTGCGTGATGTCCTTTTCAAATTTCAAAAACAGGGGAGCTCGAATCATCAATTGAAACTTCTTCCTTCTTGATCGTAATGTAATTTACCAACGGAGCCATTAAAGGAGCCATAGCATCAACTTCGGAACCTGTTGACAACTTCGCAATCTCATTCTCGCTAGTATCAATTTTACCAGTTGAACCTTCGACTTTAAGCTCCACTGAATTTTTCCTTTCAATCAAATTAGCTTCAGATTCGAATTTGTTAACAAGTGTAGTGACCGATTTAGCTTTCAATGGAACATTCAATTGATTGGGTTCATTATCCAGAACGGGTTTGAGCTTTTTTTTCAACTTTGCATTTTTTCCTTTTTTTCGCATTATTACATCAGGTTCCAAATCAGGTGGAACACCCTCCATAGATCGATCAAATAGTATCCTTAGATTAAGCAGGAGAAGAGGAACAAATTGATATCAGGATTGTTGCAAACGGTTGCCGGAAAAACGAACGGTGCCGGAAAAACGGTTGGAAAACGAGGAAATCGCCAAAGAAGAGAGAGAAACAAAGAGAGAGAAAGTTGGGTTTTTGGGGTTTGGGTTTAGGGTTTAGGGTTTAGGGTTTAGGGTTTTTTTTTTGTTTTTTTTGTTTTTGGGAAAGAGGCCGAAGCCCCGGCAAAGATTTTATAAACACGAAAAGAAAAGAAACAAGAGTTATGTCATTTTTGGACAAACCCCAAAAATGACCCCAAACAAGACCAAAATCCAAATATCTCTAAGATACCAAAACCAAATGCTAACCCTAGTGACAATATAAACAAAGAAAGTACAAATTATTCTATTCCAACTCCACAACCCGGAGTGGTCTTCAATTTTCCGCTCGTACTCGAAGTGAACACTCCATTTCTTCTTCCAATCTTCAAAAATGCCATCTCTATACATGCTCCTTATCCAAGTGTCAATAACAACACTAGTCCTATGAACACCAATATCCCAAAATCTCCACACTAAAATGCCCATAGTTTCTACCTTCCCATTGCTAAAAGACTCCATAATAGCAATCTTCTTTCTCCTCTCCACCCTAGTATCTTTATTATCTTTTATGTACCTCAAAAGTATGCTGCTATAAAAAACCAAAATATCATCTTCTCTATTATCTTTATTCACAATCTTCCTATTCTTGCTCTCTTCAACCGACCTTCTTTGATTATATCGCTTTTCCAACATTCCATTCCAATTGTCATCATCAACCATCATCATCCACGCTCTTTTTACACAAATCCCATCTCTTGATTTTTTATGGATAAAATCATAAAACCCACCCACTAAATTACTTGGAATTGAACCAAGATTTTTGAACTTTTTACGGAAAAAGTTAGAAAACCAAACTATAATTTCCGGATTTGAACCAGACAAATTCATCCTTTTTTGGAAAAAAGGGGCCAACCACATGACTAAACTACTTGGAATTGAACCAAGATTTAATTTCTTTTTATGGAAAAAGAAGAGAAACCATCCAACTAAATAGTCCGGATTTGAACCGGTAAAAAACATCCATTTTTGGAAAAATGGGGCAAACCACATGACTATATTACTTGGACTTGAACCAAGATTTTGATTCTTTTTATGGAAAAAGAATGAAAACCAACCAACTAAAGTTTCCGGATTTGAACCGGACAAAGAGTGACATTTTGTTACCCAAAAAATGCCAAAAAATTGGTGGTACAGTCTAAGGATGACGTACCCAAGCCTGGTTATTGACGGGTGAATATCCCACCACTTACTGATCGAACCAGTAGTGGCACCCACAAATGTGGAGAATCCTAAATTAATAGGATTAAAAACACAACTTATGGGGATAAAACCCATATGCACTTTTTTGAATTCCACTTCACAAGAAAAAATTCTTATGAATCTCGGGATCAAACCGAGATGCAATTCATTTTTAAAGGAAAAAATGAAAAAACTCCCATTTCCGTCAAATCCTTGGTAGTACACACCTTGCTTCCAAGGCGGAGTTTCACAATAAATGGAAATAAATTCCATATAATGGTGAAAATTAACCACATCATAAGGTATAAACCAAATGATACTCGGGATTAAACCGAGTTGCAATCCAATTTTAAGGGAAAAATTGGTAAAAATCCCATATCCGTCAATTCTTTTATAAAAATATTGAATATGAACTCCTTCTAAAACAAAAGAATTCATCCATATCCAATAGTTCCTTCTTTGTATCTTAACTTCCAAACTCCAAAAGATCATCATATTATGAATAGAAATGACACTCTTCTCATAATTTTGACCAAACTGCCCCTGCTTCTTCAAACGAACATGAAAAGAATTTTGACTCTCATTAATTTTATTCCAGCCATTTTGCAAATCCAGCAAACCTCCATTAAAATCATTCCAGCACCAAAATTCATCAATATTATGAAGATGCCCAAATTGCCCTCGCTTGTTATTAATCTTATTTGAATCCAAAAACCGCTGAATATCACTCCACCCATTTCCAATTTCATCTTTCAAAAGTTTATCAAATAACCCACCCTTCAAACTCCCATTCGCTATGCCCTTCCTCCAAATTTCAATCATCCCCAAGTAATTCACCGAATGATCATACACAATAATTTTTCCCAAACAATGACCACAATACCCTTTAATCCAAATTTTTAATTTTCCACTTTTTATAAGAGTCTTCCAATTATCTTTCCTCCCACAAATATCTCGAACAGGAAGGTGAACCCAGACAAATTTTGAATTGCCGAAATACCCCTCAAACCCATGATACCCCTGCTTCTTATTTTTTCCTTTTCTGTACCAACTACTGCTGAAACGCAAGGACTTCCTTCTCTCAATATTACTAATCTTATCATCCACGGCATAAATAGTTCCAATCACTTCTTTATTAGACCAAACTCCAAACATTTTATTCCAAATATTTTGCAGCACCAAGAAACTTCCATTATAATCCATCCAGCACCTCAACACTTCAAACTTATAAAAAAACCCAAATTGCCCTTTCTTATTATTCATCTTAATTTTCTTCATAATCCGCTGCATATCATACCACCCTCTTCCATCTTTAACTTTCATTTGCCTTTCAAAACACCCATCCATCCGATTCCCAATCACTATTCCCTTCTTCCAAGTTTCGATTATTTCCAAGCAATGCACAATTTGATCATGCTTTTTAATTTTTCCCCAAAGATGACCATAATACCCTTTGACCCAGATTCTTAAATTATCGTTTTTATTAACACCCTTCCTATTATCCTTTCTCCCACACTTATTTATAACAAGAATAAAAAGCCAGCAGAGATCAAAATTACCGACATACCCCTCCACCCAAAAACCACGCTCGCAATCTTTTAATAAAATCCCTGTATGCCCCTGTTTCGCATTTTTTCCTTCTCTGTGATACAATTCCCTAAACCGCATACACTTATTCCTTCTGAGCAGGTTGAAATTATTATTCACGACAAAGAATAAAGCAATCACTCCTTCATCAATCCGAATCCCACACATCCCCTGCTCAAAAAATAAGAACCTGCGATTTTTATTTTGTAATTCCATCTCCTTCCAATCCTCAGCATCAGAATCATCTCCGAAATATATAACAATCAAGCCGATCCTTAATATGTCTTTCCTTTTATTAAATTTCCAGATTTGACCAAAATACCCTTTGACTGATTTACTAGAATTCCCTCTTTTATTAACATTCTTCCTTATATTCACAATCCATGCTTCATCAAATCTCAAATCCCACCAATTCCATGCCAACCACTCTGACAAATCTTCATACAACCTGCTTTTCAAATTAATTTCAATTTCCATGGAAATAATCTTTGTTTTTAACAGGAACATTCCACTCCTTGCACAACTCTTCATTAAGCCCAAGATATCCCAGATTAAGGCTAAATATTTTCGCTCTAATATCTTCTGTGATTATCTTGACAACAGCTTCCACTGAATTACTCGGTTTCCCAAACAATCTTTTGTTTCTTTCATTCCGGATATGATAAATGGAAGCCGCCAAAGCAATTTTCCTAACGAAATTATTTATGCTTTTCTTTTTTAAAGAATGTTGAAGTTCTTTGATGATTTCAAACCAGTTACCAGATTTATGATTCAACTTCACTTTATTTTTCATCAAGTCCCAAACTTCCTTCGTAAACTTACAATCAAAAAACAAATGGGTATGTGAATCTAATTGAGAATTGCAGAAAACACAACTGAAATCATTAGCTTCATTCCATCTCTTCATTCTATCATGCGTTCTCAGTCTTCCCAGAATAGCAAGCCATAGGATAAAACAGTGACTTGGAATTCTATTTTGGAACCAAACTAAATCATACCATTCAACAATTGTCTCACGGCACATAATGGAAGAAAAGACCTGATTAACCGCAAAAGGAACAATCTTTCCTTTGTAATTAACCCAAAGCACTTCATCTTTTTCCTCTCTGATGATCCTAGGAACAGTAAAATCACCCAATTGAGGTATCATTTCAATCCATTCAGAAGGCCAATTCCAATTTTCATCACCAATAACATCACCATCTTTGTCCCTTATGTTATATCCTACATTAGTAATTTCCCTGGGAGATAAAACATAGCACAAAGGTTTAGGGTTTAGGGTTTAGGGTTTAGGGTTTAGGGGTTAGGGGTTAGGGGTTAGGGGTTAGGGTTTAGGGTTTAGGGTTTAGGGTTTAGGGGTTAGGGGTTAGGGGTTAGGGGTTAGGGGTTAGGGTTCAGGGTTCAGGGTTCAGGGTTCAGGGTTCAGGGTTCAGGGTTCAGGGTTCAGGGTTCAGGGTTCAGGGTTCAGGGTTTAGGGTTTAGGGTTTAGGGTTTAGGGTTTAGGGTTTAGGGTTTAGGGTTTAGGGGTTAGGGTTTAGGGTTTAGGGTTTAGGGTTTAGGGTTTAGGGTTTAGGGTTTAGGGTTTAGGGTTTAGGGTTTAGGGTTTAGGGTTTAGGGTTTAGGGTTTAGGGTTTAGGGTTTAGGGTTTAGGGTTTAGGGTTTTTTTTTTTTGGATAAAAGGGGAAGACCCCTTGGCAAATTTTATTGAAAAGAAAAAACAATACAAGGGAAGAGGGCAACCGCCCAAAAAACCTAACAACTAACCTAACAACAAAGCTACAAAACTAAAAAACTACACTAAAAGAACACAAGCATCAAACCCTAACTAAGCGAACCAACCGATCCACTTCCATGTCCAACTCCAACACAAGGAGTGAAACCAAAAATAACTAACAAAGAAAAACACAATAAAATCAAAATTAACAACCTTCCAATTAACGAAATCTTCAAGGTCTTCAATCTTCATATAGCTACCAATCTTCCTCCAAGTCAAACCCCTAAAGATGGCCTCATATTCAAACAAATAGTTCAAGGTTTGAATAATATTAGTCTTCCAATGCTTC